TCCCTGTTTCTCCTTGGAAGATGAGAAGAGGTGAGTACAGGAGGGGAAGCATATGAGATGAGAGACAGAGAGAGAAAAGGGGAACTACACAGAGCCTTCTGGACAAGCCTAACCTCCAAGAGACTGCAAAGGCCAAAAAGAAAAAGGAAACTTTTGCTTTGACTTTGTTTTCAAGTAATAATGGTTACCAAGACACCCCAAATATCCTAGGCAGAAATATAGAACAAGTAAATAAAAAATACATTGTGCATCAAGAAACGCAAAGTTAAATAAACACAAATTTGTGAACAATTCAGCATCTACACAGATCAAAGTGTTACCACAACCTGAATTATATCAAAGGACTCATAATTCTTTGTTTTTTACTTTCTATGTAGACAGAAACAGTTTAATTTTTATGAACAAAGGACAAATAAGGGCATGACTAACTTGATGTTATGTTCTTTCAAGTTTCATTCATGTGGCATGATCCTTCCCACCTTCCTTAATGATATGTTCATGCAAGCATTTTTTAATCATAAAGGCTAAAGCAGTTGGGGTAAACAAATGACTTAGCCAAAAGCAGACACAGAAAAGGTGGGGGCTTCACTCTTAGCACATACCGGTTGGCAGTCAAATACATATTACCTTATGGCCATCCTTAAGAATTTTACAAGTTAGTCACAGCCCCTCAACTGATTGTAACCTTTTTAGGAGTAGTGATAATGTCTCACGTCTTCCTCCTACACACACACACACACACACACACAACACCTTCCATGCAGCTGGGCACACGGTAGGTATACAAGAAATGTTGTTGGTTGACTGAATAAGGCAAAGTGAAGCTGGAGGCTGGACTTCACTCAGGTAATGTGCTCTCTTTTTTTTTTTTTAATTAGAGTGTTGTTTTTAACAGTGAAAAACTGGAAACAATACAGAAGTCCAACAAGATACTGATTAAACAAACTGTGGTATAATATACAACTGAACACTATTCTGAACTGTAAAAAGAAGTAAAGAGATCTAGATTATTGATAGGGAAAAATGACTGGGATTTATGAAATGAAAAAAAGAAAGTTGCATAATGGTATATAATGTATAGAATGTGATTCTATCTGTATAAATTTTAGATTGATTTAAGAAAAGTGACACTTCCAGACACACCCATCTCTGTATTACAGCATTTAGCACATACCATTTAGCATATCCCTGTGAACCACTGATCTGTTCTCCATCACTGTAATTTTATCCCTTCAAGAATGCTTTATAAATGGAATCAGTAACATGTAATCTCTTGAGATTAGCTTTTTTTCCACGCAGGATGATTCCCTCGAGATTTATCCAAGTTGTTCTGTGTATCAATAGTTCTTTTTTTTTTTAATGCTGAACAGTATTCCATTGCATGGATGTATCACAGTTGATTTAACTATTTATGTGTTGAAATACACAACATTCAGGTTTGTGAGATGCGGAACACCACTATGTTTACATTTTCTCATTTAATCCTCAAAATAATCTCCTGTGGTTACTTAAGTCAAGGGTTCTCAAACCTAGACTCCGTGGGTCTTAGGGAAGGACTGGGAATCTGAATTTTTTAAGTTCCCAGGTAATTCTAATTTGGGAACCAATAAACTGGGTGGTTTTATTGTAATTTTACAGATGAATCAACTAATGCTCAGCAAGTAAGAGTCATTTGTTTGAGGTCATGTGCCTGGGAAGAACCATGATGCCAAACTAGATCTCTCTGGGAAAGAGTTTTTCACTGGTTCTGGGAGACCTAATATTCAAAAGAAAGTCTATCAGAGAACAGAAAGCTAAGAACTGAGTCCTTGAAACCAAGAAGAGTGCTTAGCGCTGCCAGCTGCTGCAGAGAGGCTACAGAGGATGTGACATTGGGGAATTGGGGATGTCCAATCAATGTGTCTGTGGTACTCTAGTCTGGTCATTGGAGGAAGATGAAGACACAGCCCTGGCATCCAGCACAGGTCTCCCTCAGGAAAGCTAGCCAGCTGGAAGGAGTTACGGATTGAGGCTCAGCCAAGATCACTCCTTCAGAGGACAGCCTTATGTTAAAATTATTAAAGTCAAACATCTGGGCCTGTGGGATGGGGTGCCAAGAAAGGGCAGGTATAAGTTTCACAGGGGAAGCTCAGTTCGGAATCTCAGGTAGGTGGTCCATAATATGCCAAATAGAACCCATCCTAGAATTTTCAGGGATATTACCTCTTTGTTGGATTATTCAGGCCTTTGCCTCACTTTCCTCTGCTCTATGTGTTTTGCCTTTGGGGTACTACTTCTACTGGAAGATGGAAATAGAAAAAAAGGTGAAATTTCAACCAAGATATATTATTGACTTTTAGTAATTCTGAATCACATGGTTGAAATGAGACTGGAACTATATAGCCCACAAGTAAAATCTTCTAATTATCCATAGTTATTTAAGTTTCACATTAGAATTACCTAGAAATTTAAATGAGATTAGAACCAAAGCATAGAAGTAAAACCTTCTCATTTTCCATTTAGTCACCCTCATGCTGGTCCACAAGCAATTGAGGTTGGCTGTGTTCTTTCCCAAGGGGAGCTTACAGGTCTGGACAAGGATGTGGTGGATGGTTTCCTGCAATCCCAACTCCAACCCCAACTCGTATCCTGTTGTTCATGGATGCAGATCAGTGTCCTTCTATTTGAAAGAGGATAATGATGATAATAACCCCTTATATTCGAACACCTTACAAAGCACCTTCACATGCATCAGCTTAGTCCTTCAAGACCCTTGGGAAGAAGAGTTGTTATCCCCATTTGCTTAAGAAGTAAAAGAAGACATAATTTAAACCCATCACCTCTGACTGAGTCCAGTGTTCTTTTAATTACAAACCACCTGCTAAGTTATAATTGGCCAAAACTGTTCTGAAACCCACTTAGCCCTAGTCTGGTTGGATGGAAATTAGTGAGATTTCAAGTGTCTCATTGTTCTAAGAAGCAGAATTATGTAATGAGTGGAAAGAATGTGGGAGCTCTGGTGGCATTGTGCCTAAAGCATTTGACTGCTAACCAGAAGGCTGGCAGTTCAAACCCACCAGGCACTCTTTGGAGAGAAGACTGGGCAATCTTCTTCTATAGAGATACCACCTTAGAAACCCAAAGTGGGGTTGCTGTGAGTTGGGACCAACTTGACAGCAGTGAGTTTGCTTTCTTTTTGGTTTGGAAAGAATGTACTGAAAGAATGTTTGACTCTGGTCTTTGATTGCTAGTGACCTTGTGCAAAGTACTGCACCTGATCATCAGGATCTTATCTGTAAGAAGGGCACAAGAGCCACCTTGAAGAGGGGCTGGAAGGAGGCAAGCCTATGCAAAATGGCACGCACACTGGTGAGAATGAATAGTTACTTGGTAGTGTTAGAACTCTTCCAGCCTCCACCTCAGCAGGTCTTTCTGAGCCCAGAGACCTCAGAATTGAGTCCCTCCAGCTCAGGTCTTGCTCGCGGGTGGGGAATCATAGGGATAGGCTGTGTCAGGGCCTGGCCAGCTTCCAAGACATCAAGGACAATGGTAAGGGGCATGTTCCTTTCATTTCCTGGCATGTCCCCCCGTGAAGCAAAATAAAGTTTCCTTAGATTTATCCTAGAATTATATCCTAGACATTCCAATATCAGAAAGACTGTCAGTCTGGAATTCTGGAATCTACTCAAAAAGTCTTCCTACTCCCTATCCAAAGTCATATCCACATTCTAAGGGATATTATAGGCTAGAAGTATAGATTCCATACTGATCCCTAAGCCTCTCCAGACGCCATTCTTTGGTTTCCCCTACCATGGCAAATAAAGGAGGCTCAGTCACCAGGGCCCTTCCCCACTCTAGAGTTTAATCTGTTTGCAGGGTCCTTCTGTCCAGACAGGGAATCATCACAGGAACGAGGTGCTCCCAGGAAGATAAGTGTCTTTCCTGCTGGACACGTGCAAACTGAAATGTCAAATGCCTACAGGGTTAGAATTGAGTTGGGTAGTGTCACTGGAGCATGGTGGGGGCTGTGGTGAGCTTGAGAGCACACCTCATCTTATACAAATGTCAGGGGCAACTCAGCTCTGCCCAATGTGGCCATCCCCCCTCTTTCCAATTTTAGAAAAAGCAGAAACGCAGTTTCTTCTCAGATAAAACCTCCCAGTTTAAAAATGTTCACTTTGAAATCCTTTGAAACAGAATGCTTCAAAAACAAAAGTCTGCAATACCTCGCCACCCACTTGTGGTCCTGGTCTGTTCTTTTCAGGGTTGGCAAGGAGCCCCAGCAATTCCCAGCACTTTTTTCCCAGCTGCCCCTTTTCCTTTCCACCCTCTCTCCTTTCCACTTTCTGCAACTCACCTTTACGGGCCTCCTCTTTCTATCACCGTGTGTTGCAGACTTTGCGCGTGGTCTCCCGCCCTGGGCACTCCTAGAAGCTGCAGTGAAACAGCTGGAGGAATGGTCTTTGACGTAGACCTACTTCCCCCTATCCCGGGAGCCCTGAACAGGTTGAGGGTGAGGACAAAGCCTCGTCCTGGGAGCCCCCAGTCTGAATGAAGAAATGGTCTCACCCTTGTAATTCCAGGCTAGGGACTGGCGTGCAGGCCACCTCCCAGAAAACCCTAACGTCCCGGTGGGCTAAAGGGGGAAGGGAGCACAGGGTCAAGGGACGCAACAGAACTGTGGGTTTCAGGATGGAAAAACCCAGCTGGCTTCCAAAGCTGTCGATTTTTGGAGACAGGCTTTGGAGACAGGAATTGGTTCCTACGCAGATGGACCTGTCCTTGCGCACCAGGTCCGTCTTGGGCGCAGCTGCGGTAGTCACTGCCCTCCTCCACCCCCGCATACTCCCCCTTTCTTCCACCCGCCAGACGCCGAGCCTGAGCTCCGCCCCTAACGCACCGCCCGGGCCCCCCGCGCCTTAAAACCCTTCGCACGCCGCTACGCGCGCCCCGCCTGACGCACCTCGCCTTTCCTCTCTAGCTCTGTCCGCAGTCGTTCGAGCGGCCCTGGTCCCGGCACCATGAGCTTCGGCTCAGAGCACTACCTGTGCACCTCCTCCTCCTACCGCAAGGTGTTCGGGGACGGCTCCCGCTTGTCCGCGCGCCTCTCCGGGGCCGGCGGCGCAGGCTTCCGCTCGCAGTCGCTGTCCCGTTGCAATGTGTCCTCCTCGGCCGCCTGCTCCTCGGCCTCCTCGCTCGGCCTGGGTCTGGCCTACCGCCGGCCAACAGCGTCCGACGGGCTGGACCTGAGTCAGGCGGCAGCGCGCACCAACGAGTACAAGATCATCCGTACCAACGAGAAGGAGCAGCTGCAGGGCCTCAACGACCGCTTCGCCGTGTTCATCGAAAAGGTGCACCAGCTGGAGACCCAGAACCGTGCGCTCGAGGCCGAGCTGGCGGCGCTGCGGCAGCGCCACGCCGAGCCGTCGCGCGTCGGCGAGCTCTTCCAGCGCGAGCTGCGCGAACTGCGCGCGCAGCTGGAGGAGGCAAGCTCAGCGCGCGCGCAGGCCTTGCTGGAGCGCGACGGGCTGGCCGAGGAGGTGCAACGGTTGCGGGCGCGCTGCGAAGAAGAGAGCCGCGGGCGCGAAGGCGCCGAGCGCGCCCTGAAGGCGCAGCAGCGCGACGTGGACGGCGCCACGCTGGCCCGCCTGGACCTGGAGAAGAAGGTGGAGTCGCTGCTGGACGAGCTGGCCTTCGTGCGCCAGGTGCATGACGAGGAAGTGGCCGAGCTACTGGCCACGTTGCAGGCGTCGTCGCAGGCCGCGGCCGAGGTGGACGTGGCTGTGGCTAAGCCAGACCTGAGCTCGGCACTGAGGGAGATCCGTGCCCAGTATGAGTCCCTGGCCGCCAAGAACCTGCAGTCCGCCGAGGAATGGTACAAGTCCAAGTTTGCCAACCTTAACGAGCAGGCGGCGCGCAGCACTGAGGCCATCCGGGCCAGCCGCGAGGAGATCCACGAGTACCGTCGCCAGTTGCAGGCACGCACCATCGAGATTGAGGGGCTGCGCGGGGCCAATGAGTCCTTGGAGAGGCAGATCCTGGAACAAGAAGAACGGCACAGCGCTGAGGTGGCCGGCTACCAGGTAGGGCTGCAGTGCTGTAAAGGGTGCCCTATGTCTTGCCGCGGGTCCCCGCGCTTCCCGGCATATTCTGGCCCTAGAAACCAAGGCCAAAAGGATAGAAGGGGAGGGGGAGGAAAGGAAGGGAGAAGAGGCCAGACAGAAGGTGTTGGCAAACAAAAAGCCCTTAATTGGGGGGTTTGGAAACACCGTTAATTTTGGGGTTTGAAAACTCTCTTCCCCGGCCTCTTACGTCTCAGTCTGCGCTCTTCTAACAAAGAAACCTTAAGTCTTGCTGCTTAGAATCATACAATGATTGTATGGAAATCTATTTCGTGCCTCCCTGGCAGTAAGTAGACGTACACTGCCGACCTGGGCAACAGTCTCCCCCGCCAAGAGTTAAGTGAGCCCAACCGAGACGGATTACAGCCACTCCTTGGTGGTGCCTGGATTGTCTGGCTTCTTTGGTTGACTTTGAAAGGCCCTGTAAGTGATTCAGGGAGCATGTCTGCCCCAGGGTTGGAAAAGAATGCTATGGCGAACTGGGAAAGGTCCTAACCCATTTTCTTGACTTTTGCCTTCAAAGGAGTAGAGATTAGGGGGAACACCTAGGCGGTTGGGCTAATAACTCCTGTCCTGTTCTACCACATGCCCCCACAGCACACACACAAATTGCTTGTCGACAATTTTTTCCCCCTGGAAGAAAGCTTTACACCCGTTAGCAAGGAGAGACTGGGTGGGGCGCTGTCCACGGTGCTGATCGCGAGATGGATCACCTTCATGTGTCAGAAATGCTCGCGCGCGCGCGCGCTCTCTCTCTCTCCCCCCCCCCCCCCTCTTTT